CTAGTGTCTTTATTGACATTGACGGCCATAAGCGTGGACAGACTTCTCGCTCTGTTGCTGGGAATAAGCTATAAACAAATAGTAACTTTAAAGCGCATGTGTATCACTACAGCTACTTTTTGGATTTTATCCGTCGCCGCTGCATCATTTTCCGTTTCGCATACTCGAATAAGCATTTGGTATGGAATTGTAGTTATACTTTCATGCTCAGTGATCTCAATCGCCTCGTACACTAAGATATTTCGCGCCCTTAAACATCATCATGCTCAAGTACAAGATCATATTCAACAACAGTCGAGCCAAACAACTGCACTAAACATGGCAAGATACAGGAAGGCAGTGAGTAGTGCACTGTGGGTGCAGTTAGCATTAGCTGTTTGTTATGTACCAAAAGTTGTAGTGCTGCTTGTGCTCGCTTATAGAAAAACTTATTCTTCACATGTAGTCGTTATTGATGCAATAACAAGCATTTTAACATATTTTAACTCCACTTTGAACCCGTTTCTTTACTGCTGGAAAGTCAGAGAAGTGAGACAAGCAGTAAAGCAGACAATCCGACGAGCACTGTGCTTTCCATGGACTTAGATGTAATTTCTCTGAGTCGTTAATCAGGCGTAATCTGAAGGGAAAGAAAAAAGAACATCGACTGAAACAAATACGATATTTCAGCATCTATTTTGCTTTGGATGCTATAGGTTTTGCCTAATTATGCTGATAAATATCAGATAAAAACATAGACCCGTTGTTTAGTAATCTAACCTGTCAGCAAAAAAAAAAAGAAAATTGAAAGGCAGAACCAATATTATCCATCCAGCCAAATACTAAGGCTGTGTTCTGCTCACTCCATGTTTTTTCAAAATTGATCTAATGAGCCATATTATAACAATACACTATTGTAGACTAAACTACTCCTGATTATAAGCGCACGAGAATTGAAATGAACTGTTTTAGATGGGAATATGTTTCAGCCTTGAAAGAGAAAGAGTAAATAGCGAATGGGAGATATTGTAGTAGTTAGGAAAGTAAATAAAGATGAACATTGGATGAACGATGTGTTGGTTTAATTAATTGGAGATTTTAACGGTTGTGACTCTTATCTGAGAGTATTTCCGTGCAATATGCAAATATTGCGGTGGAAGTTTTTGTCATTCAATTGTAGATAATTTATGCTTTGCGGAACAAATGTCTCTCCGATTCCAGATGCGTAAAATTTATTCTAAGAACTAAGAGAATCAAGTAGAATCTGAGGGAGACTTTTGGGGCATCATATGGAATAAGGGTTCTATTATTTAGGTAGTCTTAAAAACGCGGGAAATCACCTGTTGCCTTACCTTCAGGTCCTTGTTAGATGCGAAAGGAAGAGAAAATCTGACAATATTTCAAATTTGTTCGAGGAATGCTGAAATCCTCTCTTAATAATTTATTGAATATTACGATATTTTGACATTTTACTAGGCATATTCGCTATTCAGTTTTAAAGGCTGTCATGAATTAAAATTTTCGATCCATTTTGGCAATTCGCAACCTTATATCGATCAATTTTGGCTTATCAGTGTTCGCAAGAGGAAATCTAGAAAATAATTTAAGATCAGAACCAGCTGCCGAACGAGTTGGGTTACAACAACAATGGAACTCTTTCTCAGCAGTTCACATTTTCCTCTCCGTCACAGCATTTCTTGGAAATTTTCTAATC